CTTCGTTCGCCAAACACAACTCCGCTGGCGCCTTCTACGAAGGCTGGCTTTCGTAAAAGTTGCCCTACCATGCAAGACCCTGTGATCCAATGCCATGTCAAGCTCCCAACATGCGCTCCAAAAGTGAGCCTCTTTGCGATCTGTCGCCCAAGTTCGAGTCCTACCTTAAAACCAACTTTAGCATAACTCTACTCCAGTATTTTGATGCTCTGAGTTGTGAGTGTTGGACACCTTCAAAGACCTTTGCTGGAGGACACGCGTTCAGATATGGTTGTCTATGACATGTGTTGTGCTTTTGCATTCGCAGTGGCCCAGCACCTCAAGAAGTTTGGATGGACACTTTCGCTTCGGCAAGTGTGTGATAAAAATAAGGGGTGCACCGTGCCATGAGGTAGAGAAGGTCTACGATGGTTTTACAGCAATATACATTGATTGGACATCCAGTTGGAGTAGGTTTCATTCCATTTGAGACCTTTGAGGAGGAGTGAGGGTGGTGAAATTTATGAGAACCAATATAAAGATATCGAAAATCACCGGACGGCAAACATCTTTGATGGCTTGTGTGCAAGGAAGTTTCCATGCATGATCATCTGGTATGTGACTCCAGCATGATTCAACTGTTATGAGGCTTCCGTTTTCTGTTTTGCCACAAGCATTTCTCTTCACATTCTATCAACAATGAGATTTCTTCAACAAGACTCCTCGCAAAATGTCCGTCCACATATACTTATATCAACTGAAGTATCAACTGAAAGTAAGCTCACCTTCAAAAGGTCACTGGAAAAAACAACATGAATTTGGTGACCACGTTAGCCCTTTGCCCATCCCTGGAGGGTCAGCCCATTCCAAACCCGAGGCATCCAACACGTCCAGCCCACGTTCGCGAAGTGTGGTGATGCCATGATGCCATGTGCAAGCCTTTCATGTTGTTCATCAGGTCTTCTCCATCGGTCGATCCAGACATAAAGCGACCGACAGAGTCTTTTACCAAGCGACCCCGCAACGTTCGCCAAGAATCCCATGGCCGAAGGCTCACATCGAGATCTCGAGCGACCCACTCGCCGTTCCAACCTGCCGAAGCGCTCCGGGCGGGCGCTTCGGCCGGCCCCGCGCCCGAAGCGCAGTGCAGTACAGTCAGGTGGCCCCCAACATCTATCTGGAATCGTGTGTGTGTGTGTGTGTGTTTTGGAAGCCATCGCTCTTAGGTTGTGTGTGTGTGTGTTTCGGTGTTCAGTGCTTTGGGGGCGCCTCCCCAAATCGAACTGAAGCTCGATTTATAAGCCGCCCACCTTCCCAAGCAGAAGCGGCCCATGGAAGATCTTCATGAGACTCTCCATCATAACGAGACGAGGTAGTAATCCTGGATGCGATCTGAGTCAGCTGAAAGGGCGTGGTGTGATAACGCCCGTGACATCAAAGAAGAGGCGTTCAACATGGGTAAATGATTGCAGCGGTGAATGTTAAATCTGGGACTGCCATATGATATCATGAGGTCAGGGTTCACCATGATCCATCATATGGAGATCACCATCAAGAACCAGTGTGTCTTTTTGCTTTTAATGACCCCTACCTGCCCACGAGCAGGAATGCTGAAACCGCACTTTAAACGGCTGTGTGTTTCGCAGGGAAAATGAAATCATTCTCACCACCCCTGGAGATGTTCCTTGGTGTCAATGACCCCCCAAGAAAAAAAACATACCACTCACATTAGGATGAAACAAATCATTGGTTGTGGCTCAGTTGTTCAATCAACAAATTTATAAACAACTTGACACGTTGGTTTCCAATTGCAAGCAATCCTTAGAACTTTGAACAACAAGCAGCCTTTTGCACTCTCATCCGCCCTATGATTTTCCAAAGAGTTGTCATGACTTGCCATCAATACCGGACAAAGCGTTGGTCGAGTCACTTCGCAAGGAGGAACATGCATAATATATGCTTCACATGGCTTCTTGCTCGACGTACGTGGTCGGCCGGCTGTCCGTCATTCTGTTCGAATCACCCACAGAACAAGAAACCATGGTGCCAGGCAAAGAACGCACGCGTGCAAACACAACAAACCAGAAGTGGAAACACATGCTAAAACGTCATCAAACCTCAGGTCTTGACAGTTGTGCTCAACCTGGCCCCATAGCAAGTTTTCGTGTCCAACACACCCGAGTCCACAGGAGTATGATTTGGCAACTAGTCACCAGCCATAGCTGTCACCCATGGTCGTGCATTTGCCTCAGCCAGTGGCAAAGGAGCTGAGGCAGCACCCACGGGTTGCCTTGCGAGAAAAACTTTGTTTGTACTGGATGATCTTGACTGACTGACGTAGTCAGGAATCCACATCTGCTGGTCATTTCATAACGGGTTATAGTATCTCCAAGGTCAGCGGCATCATGAGCTGACTCCATTTCCCTTCCCTGCCCTTGGTTTTGGCACAGCTCTTGCTACGCAAGCAACCAAACAAAGCCATAGACCTACGCACGACAACAAATGAAGTCATTACCACTTTGACAATCCAAAGTTTTGGTGTGGCTTGGTGGGATGCTCCTTTTGATGTTCAACTTCTCCCTGGTCTGCTTGCAGTGACAACTAGTTCATACCATTTCAACGGCCAAGCCGCCAAGCTATGATATGTATATAATATATATATATTATGTATAATGTATAGTTATATTATGTATATATATATAGTTGTATCTGTGTGTATGCACTATGCACAACACATATGTTCCGTCTGTTGTTACGGCTGTTCGATTGAACCAAACCACCGTAGGGGTGTCAATACCTGACACAAAGGCACCACGACTGGGCCGTGGGGCGACCCAGTCATCTTCCACCGACGTCCGGCTCGGCCGAAACGACGCTCGGCGCCAAGAGTCCCATTCTCCACTTGTCCTGGGACAGGAAACACATCATACAGGAAAAAAAGTACAGGGACACACCACGAAAGAAGAAAGAAGGGCTAAATTGGACCAATTGGAGGCCTTTTTGGCTGGCAATTCTCACTTTTGCACTGAATCTTGGCATGCAAGCATCGTACTTGTCGTAAAAAAGGCAGTGCACTCCGTTGACCTGCCGCCAGTATGGCTTGGAGCGCATGCTTTGCCCCAAGGCCAAATCGAAGCGGCCCAAAACTGCCGCCCACTCGTCCAGTGAGCTCCTGGGCGGGGTGAGGGTCCTGGGTCGGTGGAGGCCAAACGCCAAAGGTCTTAGCAACGACTGTGCGTTGTGCGAATAGTGACGACTGGTGCGATGCTAAGTGACGGATGACATCGGGTGACGGATGACATCGGGTGACGGATGACCTTCCATCATGGCCTTCATTCTGGTCTGGACTACCTTGCTCATCAGCAAGCAGGCGGCACTGAACATGGCAACATTGTGTGACATTTCTGACTGGGCAATGAGTCCAGGTTGTTCACTCATAATACCTCTTGCGATCCCCAGATTGCAAATCCAACCTTATGGAATTAAGACTTCTCCCCATGAATTAAGATTCAAGATGAATCAAGTAAAATTCCCTGTGCAAAGCTCCCAATCTAAGTGATCTGCTCTCTCGACACTCCTCTGACTTTCGAAGATCAAGTGCCTTTCAAGCAGTGCGCAAAAAGAATCAAAACATATGCCTCCAACAACTGGCCTGTCGAAGGCCACCAAAGGTTCCAAGGGGTTAGCGATCGCAAGGCTTAAATGTTCCATTCACCAGTCACCAGGGGTCTAAACCAGTGCAGTGCAACAACCCACAGAAATTAGTCTGAACAGACTTCTACTTGAACAGTTCTGTCCGCCCACAGCTTCGCTTCTGCCAGGTCTCCCAGCTGTAGATCCAGGGCGCAAGTAGACTGAGATGGCCCCATCGATCCTGGATGCGCCATGACGCTGGTCACTCCGTGAGGACATTACCAGGATGAGAGGTCCAGCCTTCTTCAGGTTCAGCCCTGGACTTTGGAGGCCAAATGGTCAAGACTACTTGGAATACTTCAGTTTCCTGAATGCACCGACTCCAAGCCGGATCTGGCTCCCGTTATGTTTTATTGTTTCTTCTGGATCACTGCGGAGGAGCTGCTTCTCCGCATGCAGTCCACATGTCTAGCCCGGCTAGCCCCCAAAACCGTGGTTTTCGTTGTCCCTGCCAATAAACAAAAACTGACACAAAACTGGTGGGTACGAGGAGACGAGTCACATTCACTACCTTGTGGTCTCGGTCTCGACACGGACGAGTCCCTAGTGGTGAGAACAGTGAGAACGTGTCAGTGAATTCATGTGAGTTCTCATCGCATGCGCAACTGCTTCAAAACTTTACCTTTGCATACCTTTGCCACCATCCTTTTCCAATTTATATACAGTAACCAGTTGTTAGTCTTCTTGATCTTCTTGGGCACACGCTACTCCACCACACGCCGCTCAATCGAAGAACATGCGCAGCCAAAAGGCACAGCTTGCGTCTGCGGGCTTGTTCTCTGGCAATTCACTTGACAAACCACGGCAAGAGATGCCAGCGCTCCAGCACCCACAAAAATACTGTCAAAGCATCCCTGGGAAAGAAAAGGACTCGACAAACGGGTGACGAATCGAGCGCGCCAATCTTTGGGCTATAGCCAAATCCGCTTTGTCAAAGTCAACAGAAACATGAGGAACAAAGTTGATGAGCGAGTTTACATTTCTCACCACAAGCCAACATAACATCTACTAGAACAATGAAATTCCTCTGTCTAGGCTCTGTTGGACACGGTTTCCTCCTGCAATTCTTCGAGCGACATGGCAAAGCCTGTCCGCGAACGATTGCGCCCTGGTACGCTGTTTATATACGCTGGTTACGCTGGTCAACGGTGTAACTTAGCAACGGTGTAAACAGTGTAACGGTGTGAACAATGTAAACGGTTTAATTAACGGTGTAAACGGTGTAAGCGGTGTAAACGGTAAAACGGTGGAGACGGTGTACCAAAAAATCTGGACACGCAATGTAATATTCTTTGGTGACCAGCATCTGGAAGAGTTCTGGTCGGCTCCAAATTCCACTAAGTTGCTAGTAGACGATTGCAAAGCTCCAAGCATACATGTTCAGCATTACACGGAGGCAACGCCTGTACACACCTCGGCCAGTGGACCATGCCAGCAAAACACCGGTGAAACACGTGACCCTCAAAAGGGATGGTGCCAGAAGAGCGCGAGACACACCAAATGGATCCAAGCGCCGTAATGTAGACTGTTGATTAACCGCTGCGCAAACAGCATGAAAACCAGGATCCGTGGTGTTTGCGGGTGGTGGACAAATACATTCGCCGGACGCAACAATGCGCCAGGGCACAAAGCTCCTGCAAGCGCACTCCAGCAAAGATCAGGGAAGCTATAACTCCTTGGTGGCCATCTGATAAGCGTGCACCAAATATGTCAGCGCAGCACTTGCTCCCCTTCTGACATGCCCAGGCTGCAGTTGAGTGGGGGTAAATCTGCCCTGTCAAGCTTCACTCAAATCCTGCTATGCCGGGTAAGACCCCAAGAAAGGCTGGGTCGGCTGATGGGCAAGGTCTGAACCCATTAGCGGCGCCGACTTCGGAAGTTGTAGCTGTATGGATTGAGGATGATTGTCATGCTTGTGGTGGGAAGGTAGTCCTTCAAAGGATGTTGAAAGTATGGAATTGACACTGTCCAACTTTGGCCAGATCAAATTCGTAAGTGATCTTCGAGTGGAAGCCTAGCAAATGACAGGCAATGCAACAAAGGGTGACATCACCCATAACATCCCATCACAAATTGGAGCCAATGTCATATTATGTGAGCCAAATGAAGGGCACCCATGCCCAAAAGTGCATGTATGCCATGTATGCCATCGAGTCGACTCGGAAAACAACAACTGCTGACCTTGGACAACACGCCGGGCGCACGTGACGCCGGAGATGTTGACATCCGCCCCCCCGACGATCCGAAACAGCGACCCATAGCGACCGACCGGTCCAACCAGTGTTCGGTGCCGCAGCCCTGATCTGAGACTCTGAACAGCTGCCTCCATGTTGGCAGTTGAAGTCTGAAAGTAGTGAAGAATTTGATCCGCCAATGAGGTATCCAACTGCAAACTGCCAGGGCCGACAGGAACCTGAGGATCTTTCAAGGCGTTTGGTTCCCATGCAGCACTTCCATAAAGAGATCTCCTGTTGAAGCCGCAAGTTTCTACATCGCCGGGCCTGGTAGTTCTCGAAACTTGGGCAAAAGCCATGTGCAGTAGAAGTGCAGGTGCTTGCATCGTATGCAGCAATCAGTAGCGCAGGCATCATCTGCCCGATCGAAGCATTCAGATCCAAAACCAGTTGCTGCCGCTCCTCTTCCTGCCAGGGAAGGGGCCAAGGATCCAAGGGTCCAAAGGAGGCTATGCAGCATGTGAGTCTGCCAATGACGAATTCATTCAAGCAAAACGCATCAGAAGTCATGCTCTCATGCACAATGTGTCCTCCATGATGCTTTGGAGAATTCCAGCGGAGGAGTTGGCCACACACAGGGTGGGCGCATAGCTCTGCAAGATGCCCATCCGAACCACAGCGGAGATGACTTGTGCCCCAAAGGGGAGCACGCTGCCCAGGGACGTGCCAAGGCCCACTGCAAAGCTGTCGGAGACCAGGGTCTGGTCAGTGCCGCGTAGGACATACCTCCAACACATTCCAACACCCCATTAAAGAGAGCAACATGTCAATCACGTGTAAGTCAGAAGTTCTTGACTCACAGCAACCTTCTTGATTCTTGATGTCAAATCTCAGCAGTCGCAGCCTTCCAACACCACTCCGGCTGACCCGCCCGCCCGCCTCGCAATGGCCCAAGGTTTTTGCGAACCAACCTGAGAAACACAAAGTAAAAACTCTTGAGGAGAAAGCGGTCTAGTCGTTGCGCGTGATTCAAACCTTGACAGAAACACAAGTAACTCCAATCAGTAAGACACTGGGTGAAGCAAACCAAACGACCATATTGCACTGAGTGAAGCAGGCCAAAAAGCCGATCCACCTCCTCCTCTTGCTCGAGTTATATGGACCGTGTATCCAGGACTCTCTTAGTCAATCCAAGGCACTAGTGAACAAACATCCCACGTGCCATTGAATTCCATCACCCCAGGCCCATCTGCATGTGCTTGTTGCACTAGAGGAGCCAGCCACAGGAGCCATGGTGCCATTTGGGGCAGGGGCTCTATGCGTCCTTCTTGTGAGAAGTAGGGCAGCTTCATGGAAGCTGTTGGACCCCAACATGGTACGGCTTTGCCATGTGCCGTCGATTTTTGTCCAACATAGCAAGTGATAGCAAGCATGCCGCGCTCTCTTCCACAAAGCCGCCGGTTGGTTTTGGGTCTCGAATGCATTCACAGCCTGAAAATCATCCAGCCAGCTGTCTTTTAGCTGAGCCAAACCGGTCACGGCAAGGTAGATCCAGGTAGATCAATGATGCCCCAAACCAGCACAGAAACACGTGAATCTCCTCTCTGAGACCCAGGGTTGAGCATCCCAAGTTTAGCTGAGCCAGGAGGGTCACGTCAGAATGATGCCCAAAACAGCACACGTTCACCTGTGAACCCCCTTCGAGAACTAGGCTCCAGTCCGGTACCTGAATAGCCGATGCTGGTGAAACTGCCCCTGAAGCATGCTGAAAGCATTGAGAAAACAACTGTAGTGTACAAATGTGCACAAGATTGCACAAGGCTTTTTGAACAGGCGGAAGGCTACATGCACACTGATTTGGAGCACTTTTATGGTACAGTAGCATATCGTGTGCAAGCCACATGTAGTTAGCCAATGTAAGGTGCCAACAAAGCACTGAAGCCGCCACTGAAGCCCACAACCCCCAGGCTGGTACAAGCATGAAGCCACTCATCATGAAGCCCTCATAATTCACAACTGTAACTAACTACACCCTTTTTGTATCCTGGTGGTGGATCGGATACCTTGCACCACAGCTTGCGCTGCTGTGGTCCCTTTAGTTCCCGGTTTGAAGAAAGCAACGAACAGGTCAGCATGTCTTGGATCTTGTGAGGTGGACAGTGCAGGACTTCATGGCTTAGAAACCAACCCACCAATCGCAGGTCGTCCACCGACTCACCCACTCCGCCTCGGGTCATCCACCGGCCCCTGGGCCGAGGCGTCGACACGTCCGGTCCGTGACGGCGAGCGAAGCCGTCCGAGGGAGCAAGCGACGTGTCTCATCTGATCGTTTTTTTTGTATGGATCTGGGTCACCAATTATTATCAGAACATGGAGGGTGTGTGCGAGAGCATGGAGGGTAGCCATTCTCTTTATGGACGAAGTTCGTGCGTCAAAAAGACCTTCCACGAAGTTCTGCGAAGGTTTCCGTTTTTTTTGGATGGCACACGGCACATGTGGTTTTTCCTGAAGGTCCACCATTCCATGAATGGTCCACAAACGACCCCAGGTTCCACAGGTTGCACACGCGGGCCTGCTTCGAAAAAAGTGGAATGGGCTTCTGCAAAAGCACTACCCTTCCAAATGCGCCTGAAATTACAATATATCAACATGAACAAACTATGTAGAGTTTTCACCCATCTGAAAACCTTCAGCGTCTCAACCTTCCACTCTCTGACTCTGGCCTTGAGCGGACTTGGACCGCACAGGGCCGGCGCGACCGCAGTTTCCTCCCTCGTGTTCCAGAGCCGAGCAGGCGCGGGCGGTGAGCGACATGCAAGAGTTCCACAGGATCTCTCACTGGACCATTGTGACGAGACGATTCTACACAATTATATACTAAGGAGATCTAAGGAGTTAAACGACCTTCACACAAATTGAGCATTCACCGGTCCACGGTGTCCATGGTCGATCGACTGCACCGGTACCCCGGTATCAAGCACCGGTTGCCCTTCCAATGGGGGCAAAGGAACGATGATGTTTCCTCTACCACCTGGGAATCATGTGAGTTTCGGCTATTTCTGTCCTTAGACGCTAGGTGCAAGCATTTGGGGTTCAACGAACCACCTGGTCGTGGGCGGGGTTGATTTACCAGGTGCCGATGGTGGAAGCCCAAACCAACGCTGAAATCGAGCAAGACTTGTGCAAGCGCCTCAAGCCACAGCGTGCAGGCCAGCTGGAGCGATACAGCACTTCAGAGTTGTCGGTGCGCAATCCATTACACCAACTTGACACCAACAAAGAAAACACGCACAATATGTACATACTTATGTACATGCATACATCAAAACATTTAAAAACCATTTGCCAATGTTGATCTCACCTGGTTTGTGTGGTTTGCAACATCTGCTGTGACCCTGACCCGTTTGCCTGTTGGTCGTTTGCCCACTTCTGCGGTGTGAGACCTGACACCCTAATGGTAAGCTGCTTTTGCAACAAAACACATGGATGAACCAATGAAGTGGCGCATGCGAAAACACACCAAAGAAATAAACAAACCTATCAGCACTCGTTTGGACAAATCAAACCTGCACCTTGTCTTTTCGCTCCTCCTGAAACAGGAGTCCTCCAAGCAAGCTTCAACTTGAGCCAGTCCCAGGGATCCTTCAGTTTTTGCAGGTGTTGGCCTGGTATGTTCGGCAACTGTTGCCCATCGACGACCGATCGGCTTTTTGTCAAGCCGTTTTTTGCATTGACGGTCATTGACGATTTTGCTCCCTTCGCTTTTGCAACCATGGATGAACTGTGGTCCACAATGGTCCAAACTTGGGCAAACGTTCGATCAACGCTGCTCTTGGACCTTGAGCTGCCATTCTTGGATCGGCGTGTGTTTTCTTGGTGGTGTGTTCCTAGAATCCACATGCACATGAGGATGGACAAAGGGTTTGTGCCTAAGATCCAGGATAAAACAATCCAAATTGCCCAGTGTACCAACTCATATATATATATATATATAATATATATTCTCGAGTTGCCCATAATTGGAACACAACAGGGCACAAGTTGCAAACGTTCATGCCCAGTGTTGGGGGACCTGGTGCAAAATCCCATCCCGCCAGCCCCCTTGGGCTCGGAACAGCACTCGTGGAGCTCCTCCACCTCTCCCTGCAATTGCTGACCTCGGTAGCTCACAATCCTTGACAGCACGAAAAGAAACCATGCGTCGTATCCAACATGAGTCGTATACAAAATGCATCCCAAGAACTCGATGGAATTCATACAATTGCCCTTTGCGGTCTTTACGGAACAAGCATGGCAATGGTCAAAGGCACATAGAAAAATACCGTTCCTCTTCTTCTGCGAAACTTGAGTGTCAGCTGAACTAAACCTGACAACCGTTTATTTAATTTTTTTGAATTCAGTGGCAAAGGGTCCTTTTATCATCTTTTATCCACCAACTCAAAACAACCACAAGCAACCGTTTAGCAAAGCCGCTTTATTCTCTGAGGTTGGACATCGCATGCGATTGGGGCTACGTCCACAACTCAACCCAAACAAGTATTGCAAAGGCAGGTGGCCTACATGCCTATGCCAAATGTTCCAGTGCACGTGCCTATACTACAGCTGGAACTAGTCGAAACAAGGAGCTACCATGAAAAAAACCTTTGCCTTTCAATTGCTTCGCTCGAAATCTCGAATCCGTTCGATCACAATTCATGGGATCAGGATGGTATCCATTGGGCTCGAGACCCCCTATGGGTGGTGTTGCGATTCAGGTGCTTCTGTTCCGCTGTTGCACACCGCTGCGGCTTTGCCGCGAGGGCCAGGCCGTGTCGTCAAGCTACGGCCTCACGGTCTGAGAGTCGCGGGACACTCATCTCAGCAAAAAACCGCTTCTTTGTAGAGAAATGGGATCCATGTGTCAATCTTGGTCTTCTCTTTTTTTTTCTCTCTCTCTCTCTCTAAGTAACCAAGTAACTAACTAACTAACTAAATGAATCCCAGCTAGATGTTGTAATCCACTCATGTCAAATATATATATATATACATATATATACATGTCTTATCATTTCTTTACGTGCAAAAAGTGCTGTATATATATGACAATGCATGTATATGATATGTATAAGTCAAGACCGGTTGAGAGTATTACCTCAAAAAGGTCATCTGGCAACGCAATGCTCCAAAGTTCCAAAGATTTGTTTGACAAAAACAATGCCATCACAAATTTGGGGGAGCTTAACTTGCCCAGGCGTAGCCACCCCACTTTCGCTCTAGAAACAGCATCAGAACACACACACGCCAAACAAAACAACAACTCTCCATACATCATATGCAATTGGGATTGACACTGCACCCTTAAAGTCTTCTTCTCGTGGCGGGGACAAGTGAATTAGTCTTTGCAAAAACCACAGTTTGGGAACTCTCAAGAGATTTGACGCATGCGTAACGGTATAAAGGTATAACCTAAAGTAAATAAGCTTGTTGTGCGCATCTGGTAGCCCAACTCAAACACCCACCAACCAACTCCTGTAATGTCCTGCCGCAAGGCTGCCTCGCCTCATTCTTTGCTGAACACAGAGTCGCGCCGTTCACCTGCCTGGGATGGCTGCACAAAAGTGCAAGAGATTACCCAGTACTAAACTACGAAAACAAATATGCAATTTTGATATGTGTTCTTTAACGAGGTCACTAGGTACCCACCCACTAGAATGACCACCAATTGTGCCCCTCACTAGCGACACACTTTACACTGTACACATGCACGTGCACCCTTCCCCCAATGGCACGGAACCACGCAAATGCGCTTTGCACCGAGGCTTCGCAAACCGCATGGCACAACAACATCACCTTTCAAAAAATTAAGTCGTCTGTTGAACAGTTTACAAGCGAAGAATATCACTATTTTAATAAAGGGCGTTTGTAAAGGCAAAGGAAGCCCTTTGATCTGGAGGTCTTTTTCAATGTAGACAATGAAACGACATGATACGAGTTTAATAAAGGATTTGTAATTGAATGTTCCTATGTGACTTGCCGGTTTTGAAGCTCTTCCCAGGTTCCCATCTTTGCGGGTCCCGCTATTTTGAGGACCCCCTAATTATAAACAAAACGACACTGGAGTCCTTTTTCGGAGGGCCTGGTTTTAATAGGTGGAAGGGATTATTGCCGACCACGTGCCTCATCCTACTGTATCCGTGCCTGTCCCGTGCCCGTGTGGGTCACCTCCCATTCCAAGTTCCATAATGTTCCATAGCCCTCTTTAGTGACGGCCGTACACCTCTCCGAGGTCCTCATCAAAGTCCCACCGCTCCTCTTCTCCTTCGTCGAAGTCTTCGCTTTGCCGGGCGGCTTTGCCTTGAGCCTGCGGGAAGGCAAAGCGGCTGAAGGGGAGCGAAAAAGAACAATTCCAGGATCCAAGGTGCCCGTTGACGGTCAACAAAAATCCATGGTAGTCGTTTTGCACAAGAACTGGGCGAACCAGGATTGATGCGTTTTTCTTTGCCTCGCTGGGTCTTCATCGCTCTATATCGCTCTAAAACCAATGTCGCCTGTAAAGCCCGCCGCCCTTGATGGTTGCGGGTGGCGCGCTGGATCGTCACGGCCTTGAAAAAGAGTTCATTAATCAACAGTCTACAGTCTATATGTTTACATGTTTACGTTGGACATTGTGACTGACCTGGGGATGACGACATGAGATTCCTGGTCTGTGGTCTGACAGTCTGGCCATCAGAGCCGAGCATTGCAAGTAACACGGAGGAGTGATGGAGCATCACTGATTCTGACACAGCATCAATAAGGTTTTGAATTCTTTGACAAGGAGTATGTATGCTCAGTTCACGGTGGTCGAGGTGGTCGGGACTTGTGCTCAATTCTCCCTCAAACTTGAACTTGAGAGAGGAGGGGGTGAACGAAAGGTAGCAGGCAATCACAAGTAACCCTGGTAGAAGTCCATGACGGCGTGAACCGGCGCAGGGCGGATTTGATCTAGGCCCCCCCCCCCGACGAACAGAATCAACTCTTACAGCACCAAACTCAATGCACAATCCCAACTCCTGATTGTAATACATGTTTGCTAAAGCAAGGAGAACTCAGGTAGCTCAAGCTACCTTTCGTGACATATAGAAACACATGTATATACTTGTCACATATTTTGCACGGTGCGTGCGTCTGCTTCCCTAGGATCCACACAAGCCACTAAGTTTGCGACTTGTTCATTCGATCCAAACAAACTATTCCGAAACACTCCAGACCACTGCATGTAATTCACACCATGCAAACATTCCATAAGTGCTTGGGATGTCATTCTTCGAGCGTCTGCAGACTGTTGCACTTCAGGAGGAGGAGGTAGATGACCCAATGAGGCCTGCCGATTCTTTGCCGATCACATCATCCATCAGGAAAGGGACTGAACAGTTGCGCGAAACAAAAACTAACGAGTTGATTCCTTGTCCAATGAGACAACTGAGACAAAAAGAATCACTGAAATGTGGCAAAGCACACAAACCAAACTCTGGAAGAGCGATGGGCCACTGCTGATAAATCAGCTTTTGGCAAACTTGCCTGTTCTCAAGCATTTCTCAATCATTGGAACCAACTTGCGTTCTACAACGGCACATTCGGGGATCTGGTGCAGGCGGTGACCACACCTCCTCAGCAGTAGGCTCATCCTGGAAGACTTTGGACGGGTTTCCAGGTGCAAAATCAATGGAATTGTGCACTTCATAGATGTGTTCTTCAGTTGGGTGGACATTCTTGCATAGAACACGAGCAACTATATACTGTAAATGGTCAAACTTATACAAAGTCCATAGCACCCGTATTTGGTCAATGTGTTTCACATTGTTTCACCAATCAGTTCTGCCAGCTGAAGCCAGACCTCAGTTCTGTGGTCTGACCGGTACTGCGGACGTCCTGCAGTGCTGCATCTGGACCTCGAAGCGAGGGCGACGTTCAGAAACCGTTTCGCTTGACCGACGAAGAGTACCACGGCTCAGGACCGACAGGTCCTACAAGTCAATGGGACTCGGGTTTGCAGGAGACAAGTTGACAAATGTGCATCAAATGTCTAAATATGTCTAAATGCATTCTTCACGTGATGAAAAAACAACATTGGAATTTCAGCAAGCCCACCACCCAACATCAACCAACCATCAGCATACCCAGGTTAAACAAACACAAACAAAAGAACTGGATCGCCTGCTTGCTGGGGAGCCTGAAGACTTCTGCGCTCTGATCTTTAGGAGCAATTGGCTAGCAGCAATCGGCCATGGGCCAACCATTCGTCGACGGACGATCGACCACAAGCCGCCACCGGAGCCATGTGTTGAGCTCAGGAATTGACAGGGGATGACAGATCTACGCCGCCCAAAACGTCCATGTTCGGCTTGAAACCATCCCATCCTTTTCACAGCATTTGACAACACCGGTCACCTCAGTTATCTCAGTTGGTGACCGTTGCTTTTGCCCCGGGCCGCTGTGTCGAACGGCCGGCCACCACCTCCATGCGTCCAGGAGGCGCTTGGCTTCTGCCGAGCGCCGTGGCCTCTGCGCCACAGGCACTGCAGCGGCCTGGTCTGCCAGATATATGACTGATAACGACCAAAAAGGGCATGGCAGCAAACAAAGCAAAGGATAAGCAAGTCAGTTGCCACAACGATGCACATATGTCATATATATAATATATATATATAAATATGTCATATGTTGTTTGACACCCTATCTCGATGATATTCTGTCGGTGATTGTATTTGCTCTCTGCCTAGCCCTGACAATACTGAGTTATACTGAGTTAAAACCTACACAAAACCAGGTCCATCCAGTGGTGGTCCCAACATGCCCGGCAACCCGGCAACCGTCTCCGCCTGTGTCACAGATGGCCTCACCTCTGGGGCCTGGCGCAAAGAACAGACCGCAAAAGGGCCAGGACCTTGCCACGTTGATTCAGCTAAAATGAATAGGTGAGTTTGAAGACCACCTAGAGTTAACTCAAGAAATGGCCTTTGCATGTCTTGGCTCTCGGATAAATTGGTCGCCCGTCCTCGACAGTTGTTGGCCACCTACCCCTGCACCGACCATTTTCTGTGGCAAAACCATGTTTTTCACTCGTCTGTAGAGAGGCATACTCTTGCATCACACTCCCACCGTGTGAGAGTGGGGCAAGTATGGCTAACGTCGCGATTGTGCTCGTGAACGGCCGGCACCGGAACATTTGCTGCTGATGAATGGTCGTCTTTACCAAAGGAAGCTCTTCCATTTCACCTCTGGTGGATTGAAGGCAAGCCCAAACCAAACAAACTTCAACCCCCTCACACTGTATGATATGTACATTTTTGTGATATAACATGACTTGAATTGAATGATCAATTATTAGACCCGGACGCGCCAACACTTGCTTCGCAAGACAAACTCAAGGTATCCCCTAAAGGATCCTAAAGGGCTACCTTTCGTGATTAAAAACAAACATAAACATCAGCACACCCTATGATAATTCTGGGCAGCAGGTAATTAAGTCCTCAAATCTAAAACATCCAGAAACGCTTGAGTTTGTGGATGGACCGACAGGGGTGCCTTCACAAAATCTTGAGCAACCCTGCGACTTGTATCAAGACCCGAAACAGATTGGTGTTGAACGCAAACCAGTGGCTTCCGGGCAACTCTCAGCAATGGGCTACTGCACATTGTCTGTAGACATATTCCTCTTTAGCGCTGTCTGTCTCATTTGCTGCCTGTGGCCCCTTGGCTTGCAGCTTCAAGGCTGAACGTCGCGAGAAGACCTGGTTGGTGGGCCAGGCTAGTGGCAGGTATATAGTTGGGGTTATATAATCAAGTTCAGGTCAGCTGAGACTTCAAGAATTCCAAAATGAATGTCCTCTGAGTCTGTGCATGGGCTGCTTGCATTCCTGGACAGTCGCACCCCGTGGCATCGACACTGCGGAGATTTCCACTCACTGGGTTTCGAGACCTGACAAGACACCGCACTCTTGTTGATCAAAGCACTTGAGTATTCTCGCCCAACTTGGGTGCATCAAGTTCCATTGGAACCACGATGGCAAACCCAAGCCGCGAGAGTAGACTAGGATCGAACAAAACACTGAGATGGGAAGTAATCGTGGGCGAATCATGTGTGAGGGAGTTCCTGCAACCCATATTTACAAGTGAGTGCAACATGTGCAACATGGTAGACTGAGGGGCATGGAGGGACAATATCCTGGGTTGACTCCTTGATTTGTTGTATGCAATCCCTGCTCATCCGGCACATTCACCTCACAAAGACCGGTCAACTGGGACCTGCTCATCTAAGAAGTAGAAGTCGACTCCAGCAAAACACCTATGAACACCCCTGGTCGAACAACTGTAAAACATGTTCCATGCAAGAATCTGCAACATCAACAAAACCCCCGGTTGTTCAGGTACTTGGTCGAATATCGTTCTTCAATAATGAGTCACCCAGCAGCCAGGTTCTTCAAACCTCAATTGCGGACCATGCCTGCTCGAACAAATCATGCTACACAGTGCTACACCATCCTAATTGGCCAAACACTTGTTGCACTGGCAGAAACGTGTGATTCAAATACCGCCATGACTCCATGACCAAGTTTGGTCGAGTTTCGGCAGCCAGCCAAAACGCGCCAGCCCCCCCGCCCTTCCGCCTTCCGCCGCTGCTGCTGTGCCATCTGCCGGCCCTTGCGCCCGCGCACAGTGGACTGGATCTTAGTGGCCTAGGCCAGGCGGACCAGTACATGTTTGTTCAATATATTTAGTAATTTACACAGTATTATATAGATATTTAAATATACGTTCTTATATGCGTGCAGTGGTAGATAGAAGAGGGATTCAGTTTTCTATTCAGGGGTCACCAACTGGATGAGCTCCAGAAATCTAACTCAGTTGGCAATGCTTGCTCCGGCTTACACCTAGACTTCCTGAAAGAAATCCGCAAACTGACCAACCGCATCCAGCCCAATGAGCCCAACTCAGATTCTTGCCGCGGCTTCTTGTACTTCTTGAGGCACTGGAGGCAAGTCCGGCAAATGGGATGGTGGAGGTACATCCTCCAGGTGCACAAGTCATTCCATGCACAGCTGAGCATCCCAAGGTCTCCGGGAAGACATGGACATATAAACTATATAGCGTCTGAGCTTGACCCGGAACAATCATCATGACATCGACGTGCGTCCGTCTTGAGATGTTTAGGGCGCTCCTCGATGATCTTCTTTGATGCATCGAGTCTGGCGATGTCTTGTGATCCTATTCTGCCACAGCCCCCGGTCCACGATGGCATTACAAACCTGGGTCAGGTCCTTCAAAGCACTCCAAGACTCTGTATTCAACTGTGATCATAGTCAGCGTTGATAGAATACCAGCTGAATATTGGGTACCGATTTCCTGACGTTGTAGCGCCACATGCTTGGAGTGTTGTTGTTGCGCCAGGACCCGCAGGAACGGAACCCGCTGGATTGCCTTGATGGAGCCTCGCTCCGTGGCCACGGGTGGAGACAAAGAATGCTCGACCTGCGAACCCGGAATGGATCGGTTGTCTATTCCGTCGAGACCTTCCCATTGGAGCCATTGGAACTAGTCGAAATAGAACTAGACGAAATAGACATGAACGGACCGTTGATTTTATGTATATAAGTAGACTATAGGTCAGCCGGTGACCTTGGGGAAACTGTTTGCGCGCAGATTGGTTGCCCCAAATAGACCAACGCATCAAACGAGGAAATGCGATTTGAATTGACTGATTCACATGGCCACATGGCTGGTGGTATGAATGAAAGGACACAGTTGTCCAATACCAATGAAACCTTCTTGCAGGATTCAGAAAATAACGGCGAATCATGGCGAACCCTCCTCCGCTTAACACAGATTAGAGAGACAAATACAGTATGAAACCATTTGCTGTGAACAACAGGGACGGGAATGGTCAAAGCCCGCATCCCCCCGGTAGGTGGACCTCCGACTCGTAAGTCCATTCTGTTCATTTTCTCTGGTCAAGCAAGGTCACCCGGTTTGGACCCACTCCGAGCCGTACGCTTGACGTTGGAGCCAACCTGCTTCACCCTCCTCCGGGCACGTCGCCCGCGCTCAGCAGACTGGATCTTGAGGGCCTCAGGTCATTGGTGCGTCTTTGCAACGAAAAGTGCTTGCTTCACAAATACAGTGGTTTCAGAGTAGATTACACAATGCCCAAAAGGTGGTTTATGTGGATCCCCACTAAAATCTAAAAGACATGGGTTGTGACATCTGCTACTCTGAAAACACTCTAGTTTCATTTGTCTACCACACCAGCTGCTACATCATGTTATTTGTTACTATCAACATGTCTCATAGGAGAGAAAGTCAAAGGGTACTGCTGCTGCAGCTAGGGACGCCATGCAGGTCACTCAACTACAAAAGGATCCTGCTGACTCCAGCCTTCCCATAAGGGATGTACATATACATGTATACACTAGTGTATACGTGCCAATGAATTGGGATACGCTGTGAGGGAGTTGCGGGTTCATGCTCACAAGTAAGGATATGCCCCACAAACATTGGGATCGCAAATGATTATATAGTGTCAGTAGTCAGTACCTCCATCTTCGCCAACTGCCCACAGCATGATCATTCACACTCCTGGCTTGCCAGTCAATGACATGTGATGACATTTGGACCAGGACTTGGAGCCGGGGATCCATTTTCGATAGCTTTTCGTAGCCTACTCATACAGTTGCACGCCTTCACATTTCAGCTGCCTCACTTGTCACCGAGGGTCTGCATGTTCTTCCAGCATTGCTGGCTGGGTGCGAGCCTGCCAGCGCTGCGTTCGGGAGGTGCATTCTCACTCGGTGCGGGTCGGGCCGCACATCAATGACCTCACCAAGTGCTTCCACATCTTCCTAAAAAATAACCAAATGATTCAATGTCGTGGATGATCCCCAACCCCAAGGGCCCCCCAAGGGCCTAGCTACTTCTTTTTCAGGCCAGTACTCCCTTCTGCTATGCTCCTGCCCAAATCCATGAAAACCAAATGAACTTCACACTGCTAAGTGCTCCCCACTTCCTGGAGCGAATGGGATATGGGGATGTGGATGTTCCAGTTGAGCCTGTGACTGTTGAGGAATGGAATCTTGCAGTTGGGCATGATGCTCGGACGAGGCAAAGAAGAGTGGTCCCTGTATGCCAATCCCTCACTTAAGTGGGATGGTTGAATACGAAAAAGTCCAACCAAACTAGGATGATGCTTGGCACAGGTCACGGCCTTGTGCTTGGGCGCCGCAATCTTGTTGGCCTCTGATGCGTGAAGAGAAAACAGTGCCACGGGCTACTGCACATCTCCGTAACAGCACTGGTGTATGCCTTAAATCTGGCAGAAAAGCTAATGCAACAAACATTGCGATTCCTCCACCGCTTCGCAAGCTCACAAAGAAAGAGTAGCTACCAACATCGAACCCAAACAAGTTCGCTTCATCATCCCGTGGGATGC